AAAAAAAAAAAAAAAAAGACTTCACCCTGCCCTTTCCCCACCCTATGCACCCAGAGGGCATCTGTGAGGGATCAAGGAACTGGACACATAGCTGTGGAGAAGGTACCAGACCCTGTTTGAAACAACAGCCGCAAGTTCCAACAAACCAAGCAACTGAGGACTCTGTTCTCTCCTCTAACCTAGGCAGTGCGCCTGCTCCACACCAGGCCTTGTGCACTTGGTTCTGCAGAGCGACATGGAAGGGGAGGTGCCACCCAGGCTTCTGGGGACACTGGCCCGGGAGGGAAGAGAGCAGAGATGATGGGGCTCCAATGACAATAGGGCAAAGTGGGAGCCCAAAAGTAGGGCAGTTTAGCACAGACAGGATCAAGAAAGACAATCCTGGAGGGGAAATGTGAGGAGGACTCACCAGGCAGGGGGCAGAAAGGGGAACCAGAGGCCTGTGACTCAAAAGAGCTGGAACACGCCCAGCCCAGTGTCTCCCCGACACATTGCAGGCCCCCACAGTCTCTGCTCCCTCCCTTCTCTGCTCTCCCCTATATACTGCCCTAAATTCTTGGTTCCAGCATGTGTACACAAGCGTGTGTGCGTGTGTGTGTGTTTGTGTGTGTGTGTATATATGTATGGCCTGCCTAACCAAGCTCTTCAACAGAGAACCTACTACAGCCCATGGTATGAAGGTATAGGAGGGCAGCTCAGCAGAATGAGAGGCTGAGCAGGAGCCTGGACCGCACCTCCATAGTGCCACATGTCCCGTCATGGCACTGACTGATGCTTATTTCATTGTCTAACCCTCAAAAAGACCACAGAACCACAAACTCAAGTCTGTGCTGTCCTCGCTCACCAATGTATCCCCAGGATCTCACAAAAGATCTTGCATGTAACGTGTGCAGCATAAGTAGGTAGGTGGGTGGGTGGGTAGATGGATGGATGGATGCTCAGACAAACAGATGAACTATAGGGGCTTTGGAGTCAGACAGAGGTTTGAAATGGCATTCCACCAACAGCAGCTATGTGATCTTGGATATGTGACCCAATCTCTCTAAAAACAAGAATGGTAATACTTCATTGGGTAGGATTTCAATGAGACAGGAAGAGAACTGGCTAGCACACTACCTGTCACTTAGCAGGCGGCTGGTAAATGAAAAACATGACATTACTCTGTACCCCTGTGGTGTCTAGTACAATACCATGCTACAACAGGTGTTTCATACTTGCAAGACAAAATCCTAAATGACCAAAGAACAACCCCACCAGCTCCTCCCTTACTCTCGGGTCCCTGACCTAAAGGACCTTCAGCACCCTTCCGTGGCCCATTTTATGGATCTCATGTGGCTCCTAACACCACAGTGCCTCCCCAGACCCTCAGCCTACCCTGGCTCCAGTTCCCGAGCCATAGAACTCGCCTCACCTGGACAGATGTGCAAGTGGTGATGACACTGGTTCCCAGGCTGGTGCTGTCACTGAGGTCATCTGGCAAAGAAGGAGTCTTCTCCACCCGAGGGGCCTGGGTGGCCTGGAATGAGGGGTTCTTGGGGGACACATTCACATCTGTGCCATTGCCAAAGGCCTGGATGGCATTCCCTGGGGGAATGGAGGAACAGGCACACGTGGAAAAATCAGGACCCGCTTCCATCTCTTCTGCCCCAGCTCCCCTCCCTGACCTCTTTTCCCTGGAACAACCCAGAACCTGGGGACAAACAGTAGCATGTGGAATTTAACCTTGCTGAGGCTCCTTTCCAGACCTGCAGAAGTTCACATCTAGAGAGGAAACAGCAGGAGCAAAGTGAAAAAGACATAAACCAGAATGGAGAAAATGTACGTGGTGAGGATTACAGCAGAGGAAAGGAGGGAAAGAAGGGAGTGTGGGAACCAGGAGAGAGGTGGGGCTGTGCCAAGAGTGCCAGGGCCATCAGTGCTGCAGACCCTGCTGGGAAAGCTTCTCCCCATAGCTCCATGAGCACAGGCTGTGCCACTCGCTTGCTGTACTGAGTGCTTCCAGGTCCCCACTGCTGGTATTTCAAGGGCTGCAGACGACTATCCCTCCTCTCTCTCCACACCATCAACTTTCCTGGGACAACTAGCACTAATTCCCTGGGGGCCGATTCATCAGACCTCTGAGACTAAACTCTGTCCCTAAGACTTAATCCTACAGAGACATCTTCACCTGCACATCCCAAATGCATTTCAAAATCCTCCTGTCTAAACCTGAACTAGGCATCTCTTCCTGCCATTGCCAATAATTCCTTCCTCGACATTGCCAATCCTGAAAGTGTCACCTCTGTCTACCCGAGTCCCCAAAGCCAGAAACCCAGGGGGACGGGAGAGGGTTGCACCACGGTGCCTGCCCACCCACCCACTGGCAATCCACTGAAGCCACCTCCTAAAGATCCCTGCATTCCATCTCGTCTGTTCCCACTGCTGTGTTCACAGTCATCACTGTTGTCTCCCATGAGCATCAGTTACAGCTTTCTCATGGGACTCTTTTATTGGGCCACCCATCCGAACCATATCCCTAGCCCCAGTGACCTCCATGCCACAACCTTGCAGATTACCTGCTGGCATCTTTTCGGCCATCCTTTTTGGCATCTTATCGTACCATCACCAATGCTACCTGCAGGACTCAAATATCCAAAGCCTTCAGGTCTGCGAGAGGAGGATGCCCCCTACCTGTCCAGGTAACCGTCACCCCAGTCATCTTCAATGGTATGTGGCAAGGCTAAGTACACTGCAGTTCCTTCAACAAACCCATCTTCTGCAGGGCCGGTGGCCTGCCAGGATATGCTCCCTGCCTCTTCCATGACCAGTGCGGACTATCTTCAAGGGGTACAGCCTCTGAGAAGTCTTCGGGCCACCCTCCTCCTGGCTGGTGTGGGGTCCCCACCTGAGCCCCTGAAGAATCCCATGCAGGGCTAGGGATTTAACTCTGGTTCTGCTGCCTGCCTCACAAGCGCAGTGTCCTGAGTTCAACTGCCAGGACCAAATACAATCCCATGCCGAACTCCACCCTCAGCCTATTCACCCTGTACTGTGATCACAGGTAACCCTCAGTTTACCTCCACCGGACTGTATGCTCCTCAATGGCAGGCCCTAGAACCTCGGCCTCTCCCAGTGCCAAACAGAAAGGAAGGAAGATGAATGGACAGATGGACAGGAAGAAGAAAAGAAAGAAGGAAGAGACCTGCAGATGGAGTGTCCAGCAAGGGGTGTCCAACTGCAAAGCTCACAGCAGACTGAGCCTGACTTTGGCTCACCTCTCTCCAGATTTTGGGTGAGAAGTTATTTTTTTAAAAGTCACAGGGGCTGGGGATTTAGCTCAGTGGTTCCGCCGCATGCCTTGTAAGCGCGAGGACCCAAGTTCAATCCCCGGTACCAAAAATAATAATAATAACAATAATAAAAATTAAAAATAAAAAGTCACAGATTCCTGGGAAAATAGTTGTTAAAATGAAAGGGAACAGGTGCCTGAGAGCCTGACGGGAGGGCTCAATCTCCAAAAGAACCTGGCTAAAGCTGTCAGAATAATGGAAACCATTGCCCTTGGCTTGACACAAGCTCATGGACTCCGGTGGTAAACTGAGGCAGGTCCACTGACAGCTCCACTGTGACTCTCCAAGAGCTCAAGACCCAGGGTTCCTGCAGACAACACCCACGGTGGCCATCAGAAAAGAAAGAGCAGCAGGTAGCCGCGGCAGGCAGGTCCAGGTCTCCTCCCAGGCAGCTGATGGGAAGCAGCGGGCCCAGGGCCCCTGTGGTGGGGAGAGGGCTCCCTGACTCACGGAGGCACGGGTTCTCGGTGAAGTCCCTCAGGAACTTCTCACACTCCTCTTCCATGTTCCCACTGCCGCGACAACTGCACCAGGGGGACACCACGACGCTGGTGGGGCTGGAGTCCACGTAGTTGGGGGTCATATCAAACCCTGGGCAGAGAGAAAGGGAGGAAAGGAGAGAGGAGCAAGAGGGCCTTTCCTCTGGGCCCCAGACACCAGGCACAACAGGGCGGGAAGCGCCCCCTGCCTCCGACACTCACACAGTGCTCCCCGCCATCCTCACGCACTATGATCCCAGGGACCTCGGGATCTGTGAGGGCAGAGGGCCAAGGCTTCAGGGCCCCAGGCTCCTCATCACCAGGGCAGCAAGAAAGACCCACAGCCCCATCCAGACTGCACCCTTGATTCTGCCCTCACCCACAAGCAGTGTCTAGCTCTACAGTCAGCGAGACGAAGGCACCCATCCTGTGTTGGGCCCCAGGGCCAGTGTTTACCAGCTGGGTGAGCCTGGGCAAGCTACTCAATTTCTCTCACCTCAGCTTCCACATCTGTAAAATGGAGACATCCATACCTAACTAGTAAGCCCTGCAGGGAGAATCCAGTAAGTAAAGACCTAAAATATCAGAACCATGCAACAGACAGCTTTTTTTTTTTTTAATTCTCAAAGGCTTAAAAGGCCTCTGGGGCCTTCCCCAATTCCCTCCTTCATAAAGAGTTGGTTCCCCAAAAGCTCTGAATCTGTCACAGACAAGGCTGAGCTCAGCTTGACTCCCAGCAGCCACGGCACCTGCCCCGTGATGGGGCAGCAAGAGGTCTCGGCGAGTGCAGACCAGGCAGGAGCTTACCAATCATGCCCGCGTAGGAGCCCAGGCACGCCTGGTAATTGTCAGCAGGGCAGCTGGTGAGGGTGCGGTAGGAGGCTCGACAGTTGGCGTGGAAGTCTGCCAGCCGGGACCTGTGTCAGGAGAAGACCCAGGGAGAGGAGTTCAGTGTTGCGGCCCCAGTGTGGGGGCCCAAATCCTCCGGCTGGGTTGAGGACACCAGGAAGAGGGAACAGAGGACGGGGCTGGGATGGGGGGACAAGTGTTGAGGGCCTTGAGCTGTGAGCAAGTTGAGGGCAGAAAAGTCCAGTGGCAAATGACAGAAAGGACCCAGAAAGGCACAGCAGTAGTATACTCTCAATGGCTCTTCCTGTGAGAAGGACTCAGTTGGATTTGCTGAGTGCCCTGAGCCAGGGCCGGAGAGCGGGACTCTGCTCTCTGCTTGGCCACAATGCTGGGTGACCTTGCCAGAGTCTTCAACACATCGCTCTTCCAGCTTGAAAAATGGGCCCAGTAATCCCTGCCCCAGCCCCTTCACAGGATCTGTCTGAGGCCCAAAGGAGTCAGCCCCAGAGAGGGGAGAGGCTTTGGAGGCATCTTGCAGGTATTCCTGCCTGGCTCTCGGGTATCACATCAGAGCAAAGCCCCTGCCACCTTTCCACCACCTCCCCAGGCCCTTTGGGCAGCACCAGCCTTGTCCTCCCCTGGGGACTACAGCAGGCCACTGCCCATCCCTCTAACGCTGCAGTATGACCACTGTGCTTCCCACTCGGCCAGGAGCTGCTGAAAGGCAGGTGCTGTCTGACCACATCTGTCCTGGTCTCCAGCCCAGGAGCTGGACGGAGCATGTCGCCGGGAGCACCAGACACCCAAGTCTAACACATGATGGCTCCCGTTCCTTCCTGCCCCTCAAGTGACTCCTCGCCCAGGCTCTTGGCACATAAGGGACCTTACAAGCAATCCCCAAGCTCACCCCAAATTCAGTTCCCCCGGTTCTCCACTGGAATTGTGTTCCGTTTGAGAAAGGCACATGCACAGGGACAGGGGGACGAGAGGCTGAGAGACACTGAGTGAGGAGAGAGCCCAGGCTTGGCAGGAAAGGTTCCAGGACCCACGGAGAGGACCCGCCACTGCACAGGCCCAAGGGCACCAGCAGGACAAATTCATTCGCTCACAGTCCTGAAGGTGGTTTTGAGAGGGAGAACGCCTCTGCAGACATGTGACGCCTCTGGTGGAAAGTCATGAGAATCCGGAGACAGAAGTGCTCAGCTCACTCTGCCCTAACTCACTGGCGACCATGAGCAAGTCCCTTACTCCCCAGGCACTCAGCGTCCTTATTTATCAAATGAATAGAAAGTACTCTTAGTTTATCATTGCAATGGTACCTTCCCACTTGGGGTGATGATAAAGGCTGCCCGACAATGCAACTGCACTTAATGCCACTGTGTTATACATTTTTAATTGGTAAAGTTTATATTATTTTACCCCGATGACTTTTAAAATGGTGCCTTCACATCCACCTTTATCCTTTAATCTTCACAAAAATCTGTGAGGTCTGACAAGCAATTGTTATTATCCCAGTTGACAGATGAGAAAACTGAACCCCAGAGAAGCTAAAATTAGGTGAAGAACACTGAGCTCAAAAGCAGAGGAGCCAAGACTGAAACCCAGAACTCCAGCAGTCGGCAGATACCCTTCCGGCCAGACTCCACAGCTCACACGTCTTGAGCTCTTAAGGTCCCTTCAGACCCTTTGCACCTCTGTAAAGGCAACATCACCAGCCACAGGAAGAAAGAAGGAAGGGTATAGTCATCTCTGCCCCCACACACACATTACTGCACCTTCTGTCTTCTTACCGCTCAGCCCCAAAACAGGAAAAGCAGCATTTCCAGCCACTTCCCTGTCCTCTGCAGGATAGGATGTGGCCTTGACCATCAAAGCCAGTGTCTGTCCCACTCTGCAAGGGGGAAACACAGCAGGTTGGTGGAAGAACAGGTGGTCTCTGCCTATGTCCTGGATCTCTAGAGACCTAACAGTGGGCTGAGCCAGAGTGGAGACTGACAGCTACATAGGATTTGGACACAAACGAAATAAAATCTACTGTGAGTTGAACTGAGCCCCTTCCAAAAATATATTGAAGTCCTCTGAAACTCTGGTACCTGTGAAAGCGGCCTTGTTGGAAATAAGGTCCCTGAAGATGTACTCAAGTTAAGATGAGGTCAGTAGATGATGAGGGCCCCAAAGTCAATGGCTGGGGTCCTCATAAGTGAAGGGACACAGACACAGAGAGAACGCCTTGTGACAATGGAGACCAGACAGACACATCTGCAAGCCAGATAACACCAAGGATTGCCAACGACACCAGAAGCTAAGAGAGAGGCATGAAACAGATTCTGAGTTTCCGAGAGAGCACAGCCCTGCCTTGATTTCAGAGCTCTGGCCTCCGGAGCTGTGAGAGAGCATATTTCTGTTTCAAGCTGTCCAGCTTCTGGTACTTTTGTTACAGAAGCTGCAGGAAATAACACAACACTTTTGAAGACTACACTGTTTGTTTTGGCCAAATCTCCCTCCAGAAGGAGCCAAGGGGATGCAATCAGGTGTCGTCATGGAGCAAGGCTGCAGGTGAGCAAGCAAAGCCTGGACACAGCCCTGTCGGTGCAGCCCCTGCAGACAGGGATGAGATGGTCCACATCCGGTCATCCTTGCTCCCGCCATGGGACCAATAGGCTAAAGATGGGAATGGCATGGATGGTGACAGAGTGTCAGAAAGGAAGCCCCAGCAGTGGGGTCCAGGCCACAGCCAAGAAACACTGCTGGCTCACGTGTGGGGAGCAAAGTACCTGCCACGGCAGACCTCAGAGCCCCAGCTCAACCTTCATGTGTTGGAAGCCTCCAAAAGGGCTCCAAACATTGCCTTGCAGCCTTCTGGTTCTGTGGTCAAGAACTAGAGGATCTTGGCTAGCTTATCATTCACAGAATCTCTCAAAATGTCTTCAGCTCCACAGGCTAGGGAAGGAACAGATCATGTGCAAGGGAGAACATGGCAGCAGCCCTTCTGGGGAATCCAGAATATTTCCCTGATGGGCCCCAGAGAGGCCAGGCATTAAGAACAGAGGTGGGAGCACAGGAAACAAGCCACGGGACAGAGCCCAGACCCTAAGAGGGCCGTTCAGAGGGGCTCAGCAATGAGCAGAGAGAGGGCTGGTCCAGCTGCTAGGAGAGGAGGGAGCATCTGTCATGTGCTCATGCTCCGTTCCTGGCTGCAGCTGTGTGACTCTGGGCTGGCCTATTGTGTCTCTAGTCCTCAGTGTCCCTACTACCACGGTTAAGGTGGACTCTCAACTTGACTGGCTCATGAGCCACTCAGGGGACGAAAGATTAAAGCACACTTCTGGGTATGTCTAGGTGGGTCACAGAGGCATGACTCTGGAAGCTATATGTGGTCCCTCACCCCTTCTCTCTGGCACTGTTCCCTGGCTCTGCTCCCCAGCCACCATGAGCTAAGCAGCTCTGCTTCACTATACTCTGCCGCTGTGACGTTCCTGTCTTGCAGTTGACCGTGGACTGAATCCCTTTAAGTGGTGTATATTGGGTGCTGTGTCCCAACGATGGGGAAGCTGACTATGACACCAGTTACCAAAGAGTGAGGGCTGCGTCTGCCTGTCTCCCACACTGGGCTGCGGAGATAAACAGCCAACGACAGTGCATGTGAGGGAGCCTGGACAGAGCAGGCATCCATGCAGATGGGCATCATCTCTGTCTTCCTTCTCAACACACACATCTTATCCCTGCATGGTACCTGCCACTGCCAAGTGCAAAGAGGAAACAGCTTCTCCGAGTGTTTCCCACAGAAGGAAAACCCATTCTCACTGTGCCACGATGAATCTAGGTTCCACCCAGAGTAGCATGCGCACATCAGGAAAGAGAGCTCCCTCTCGAGTCACGGCCACGCCTGAGGCAGGTGCTGGCATCCAGGTACACCCTGGCCTTCTGTCCCCCTCGTGCCTCACACACACCTTCCTGAGGACACAGGAAGAGGAGCAAAGGCCCTGGAAGCCAGGCGATGTGCACAAAGCCCCTTCTCCAAGCCATCTCATGACTCTGCACTGTGGCCTGTTTCCTTCCCAGCAGGCCCACGGCTCACACCAAGCCTCAGAGAGGAGACGGTTCTGAGTGAAGGGAGGGGGCTGTGCGCTTGGACCAGCAGACAGCAAGGGGAAAGTGAAAGGAAGAAAAGGGGCTAGCCTTCTGTTCATCCACTTCCCATTCTCAGCACCAAGGCAGCCTTGGCAAGGCCCAGTGACAAATGGAGCCATTTAGGAGGTTGCCACATCCAAGTCTCCAGGAGGTCTTTGATTGCTCAAGTTTCTCTCTGCCTTTCAAAAGCGCATTTAAGTGCACAGTAGCAGGCTCCCTCTGTCAGCATCAGAGACCAAATGGTGTCAATTTCCTTCAAGGCCTTGACACATTCCAACTCCAACCACGATGGGAATCGACTGCATGAATACTCCAGCCCATTCCTGGTAGGCACCATTCTCCAAGGCAAATGTTACCCTTTCATAATACATGGCCAGCCAGCTGGTGTGCCCACACCATCTCTCGGCCAGATGTCACTCTTCTCCCATACATCGGAAGGTCACTGGCCTCTTGGACTCCATTTGCACTGCCAAGAACAGGCCTTTCCTGGATCAGTCCCATCACTTTGCAGATTTCTGCCTCTAAGAGCTCCAGAACAGAGATGGCATAAAGGAAGCATAAGAGGAAGACCAGCAAACAAATAACCAGAAAGAGAAAAGACAGGAAGCCAGCAAGAGAACCAAAATGCACCAAGCCAAGTGCCTCCCCACTGAGACAGAGACAAGACTGCCAAGGGAGCCCAGGGCAGCAGGTGGATTGGTCCAAACAGCGCAAGCCCCCTTTGGACCTGTTTCCCCAGCAGCTGCAGCCTATTCAATCACAGGAAAGCAGCAGCAGGAGAGAGAAAGACACCTGACCCCCAATTTGATGAAAAGGTTACCATATTAAATGCAGAACATCCAGCTAGTTTGAGTTCCAAATCAATGATGAATTTTTAATAGAAGTTCATCTAGGCCATACTTACGCTAAACAGTTTTCTGGATCTGGAATTCAAACT